TTTTTTTTTTACATAAACCTGTCCTTATTAAAATACTTTCATCATATAAGGCAAGGCAGATTAATGAAGGCCAATTATTAGTGACTGTTTATAGATGACGCCACACCACTGTTATTTGCACTATGAAATAACTGAGCCAAGTACCATTTGAAACATGAAGGGCATACATGAAAACTATCAAAATCCATTCCACCAATTAAAAAAGAAAGTTGGGGTTTTTTGGGCAACTGGCTGACAACTTACAAACCAAACATTGTTTAGAAAATATTATTTTATTTGAAATAATTAAAAGGTAAGTAGATTTCATAAAATTGACAACATGATTCCCCTGTTAGCTCACTCCACAATGATTAGGTTCTTCATACAGAGATAACACTCAGAAAATTATAAAGTAAGACATGATTGATAGACATGATAAATAGAACATTCATAAACACAATACATGATTGGTATAAAAAATGGTGTTGGAGGAGCTTGGTTTTCTCAACGTAACGTTTCCCGCTAAATAGCGCTTCTTCAGGAGAAGGAGAGGGAGAGGGAGGTTGTCCTTGGAGTCTGTGTGCGTCCCAGTCGTTCAACCCGGCTCAGACGGTGAAAGAGTAAATTTAGTGATTGCAAAAGGTGGTAGCTTGCTTTTTAATTAGGCTGGAGTGTTTTATTTAGAAAGTTCTAATTAAGTTCAAATCCCACTAAGTGCATTCAAAGCTTTTACCATTTTGGTAAATGATAGACATGTGCGATTCGTTTCGTTCCGAATCGAAATTCGGACGAATTTTCGTAAATTCGGACATTCGGATGTATCCGAATTCCGAATTACAGACATAACGAATGCAAACGAATCCGAATTTCCATTTCCGAAATTCGGTAGCGTTCGCACGAACGTTCTATTCGTTTTCTGTTCTTATTCGTTTCTTATTCGTTTCGTTCGTTGGAGCAAAGTGACATTAGAGAAGGAGAAAAATATTTTTTCCCCCTCAAATGTCACTTTTGCTGCAAACGAACGAAACGAATAAGAAACGAATAAGAAACGAATAAGAAACGAATAAGAACAGAAAACGAAATGAACGTTCGTACTAACGCTACCGAATTTCGTCCGAATTCCGAATCCGAATTGACTTTCACACCCGAATCCTGAAAAACGAAATAACACAAATCCGAATTTAAAACGAAACGAAACAAATTTTTTGGCAGTGCACATGTCTAGTAAATGATGGCTTGCTGATTTATTTTTCATTTTGATTTCAATTTTTTTTATTTCTCTGAGACTCCAATGAAGGGATCTGTGCAACCTAATCCTAGTCCTTAGGTTTACAAATGGGAAAAACCCATTATGGTGTCTACTTTTTTTTTGTTGCATTTTTAATTTATTTTAATTATGGAACCTGCAACAGAGGAAAGCCATCCTCTGCTGGTCCATAGCACTAGCGGTGAGAACAATGATGAGGAAATCCTGTTGCTGGAGTCCCTGACGGAAGACAGTGAGGGTGATTTGAACCAGAGAGCACTTATATCTGATACGTACATTTGCTGTATCACATACCACTCACCATGGCATCTGTCCAGTCGTGATTTCACAGGTATCTA